AATTTTTTGTTTGTTTTGTTGAAACCGGCCAAATAAAAAATAAGGAACCTGGAGGCTCAGTGAGGCTTCACCGGGTACATAAATGAATAAATGTATTTATAATGAAACGTACGGCTTCTTCTCCGTGAACAGATTGAGGAGGTACACCTCACGCGCTCACTCGCCTCTTAGACAAAACATGGGAGCAGATTCACATCTTGGTGAATCGGCCAAGACATCAAATCAGGCTGGCAAATTGCCCCCAGTGTCGGTGGTGGTGGTGATGGTGATGATGGTGTTGATGGTGATCGTGGTGGTAATGATGATGATGGTGGTGGTAATGGTGATGATGGTGGTGATGGTGATGATGATGGTTGAGATGGTGGTGATTATGGTGACATCCGCACGTATTCACCTGAAAAAAACCGGAGCATTCGCCAAGAGCACGCGGTTCGGACTTAACTCAACAAATAAACCGAGCCCTTTTTGATCAATAAATACCAAGGTAAAGGTACTGCCCTGCAATTTCTTGCTCACACCACTGCTAGCTGAACAGCCTCCACTAAAGGGAGCTTTACCCCAACCACACTCCAGAAAGCCGCTCTAGAAGCTAACGCTTGGCCTACTCTTCCAAACTACGTTGGTCAGCGTGAAAGAAGTGGGAGTACCCACACTTTACTCTACCGCGCGTGACCCTGCCTGCTGATCGACCAACTGATTTAACCATAATCTATGCCACTGGGTGGACAGAGGCGGGCGGGGCGATGTGGATTTAATCAAAAGAGTATGGATCCTTGCAGTCACGAAAGCTTTAAATCTAGAATTTGCACCGTTGTTTCAACTGCCGCGCCAGGAGATCGAATCTAACCTAGTGGCACCTCTGGGTGGAAAGGCCAGCGGGCGCGAGTGTCCGTCAAACCCGCCGTGGCACCAGCCTCTGCGTTCTTTGATTTGGAAAGTGAAACTAAGTTTGGTTTCTTCTTTTTTGTTGGGTCATCTTTCTCCTCTCGTCCGTAATAATAATTACCGGATCTATTGCCGCTTTGTTGACGACAACGATGAGTTGGCTGCGTACGGTCAGTACCGCATGAAAGCTAGTGCGGGGCCTGTAGCATATGTTATAAAGGGGCCCTAAGTAAAAAAAAACACAAATATTTTACTTGCACAGTAAAGTAATTGTATTTTTTCATTTGCTATACAGCCAGATAACACGACAAACCGCTAACCTTAAACACCCAGTCGTTTATAAAAGTTGAAGGCGGTTTAGTACTATAGTAATAGAGCAAGTGCAGAATAATTGAACCGGAATTGATAGCTTGAAAGCATTTAGCGCGGGGCCCTTGAAAGTGCGGGGCCCGCAGCACGTGTAGCTACTTTAGCTACCAGGATATAATCGGGCGCTGCGTACGGTGCGAAGTCCAAGGCACAAGTGCGTGTGCGCGTCTCCTCTGCAGGGAAGAGTTCTCCAGACCGCATAGCCGAAGTACGGCCGTGCATCCCCGATTGGAGGACGATCCAGAAATGAAGACGCACTCCGAGTGTCGACAAAAGTACCGGATATCAATTTGGTAACGCACCGGATTATAAGACGCAACCCTCCCTGCCTCTACTTTTGCTTGAAAGTACATGGTGGGGGGGGGGGTGGGGGTGCGGCGCGTCTTATAATCCGGAGAATTGGATATCAATTTGGTAACACACGCCGGTTTATAAGACGCACCCCTCCCTCTACTTTTGATTGAAAGTACATGGGGGGCGTGGGGGAATGTGCGGTGCGTCTTATAATCCGGAGAATTGGATATCAGAGGCACGGCTCCCCGTTTCGGCGGGTCACCAAAACTCGACCGAGCGCTGTGCCTTTAAAAAGGCTGCGCCTTACGGGGCCAACGGCAGCATACCTTACATAAGGGCGGCGGTAATAATAGTCATGCTATGCGCATATTTATAATACACATTGCAAACATTGGCTCATCGCATAACTTGCGTATATGTAACGGGATACACCATGCACAACAAAGACACAGGAGCCCCGGATAGGATTTTAAAAGACCGCTAGGCAAGCGCTGTTATGCTGTTAAGCGAGCACCTATGAATGCAGGCACTGCACCACGTGGTTGATGGTATGTCCAACAATACCACGCGAGGCTGCCTTTGTCTCCCCAGGACTGACGTTTTTCACACCACACCAGGTACCTATTTAAGACTGAGTCGACCTCAGAGAGACTCAGGAGCGGTTCAAATAATCGCCCACTTTGTTTTTTTTTCGGTAAAGTCACGTAGGTTAAAAACAATCAATAAAATAAGATAAATGAAAACTAAATTAAATCACAACGTTTCGGAGGCAAGCTTCCGTCTTCAGGTGGAAACCGTCACAGCAAAATTTCTGTATCAAGTGAAGAGAGCTCTAAGAGCTGAAGACGGAATCTTGTGTTGCCTCCGAAACGTCGTGATTTATTTTAGTTGTTTTCATTTATTTTATTGATTTTTTACCTACGTGACTTTACCGACAAAGAGTTTGAATCCTTGGAGTCACGAAAGCTTCAAATATAGAATCGCCCACTTATTGCTCGTGAGCGGGTCGCCGGGTTCTAAGCGCAGTGCGCTAATCACTGCGCCACCGCTCCCCATACGTGCTGAACACACACACACCGCAGGAAGCTAAACCTGCACCAGTTATCTCCGTTAGCAGCCCGTAGAGGTGACACAACTACAACAATACTCGTCCACGTGACATGACGCTGCTTTGGAAACGCGTGCGTGTTCAGCGATACTGATGTGTGGAAACGAACCGGGCACACCGTGTCCAGGAAAAAAAAAAGACACGTGTCGTTGTGCCATCTTGACCATGCGCCTTACCCCACCGTCTAACAGCAACCAAATGTCATATTCGGCGCACCGCACGGCGCATTCGGTACGGGCACACATCTCCACGATGGCTGTATAGTCGTGTCAAATGCTCCGTTCTACCGGGACATACTCGGTGGGAACCCGAGTCCTAGTGTGGGAGGCAATACAATTAATTGTACTTTCGATTCAAGGCAGACGCATAGTGTAGCTGTGCGTGTGTTGTTTGTGTGTGATGCGCGCATCATCCATTCATTCATTGGGGAGGGGGGATTGGGTCTGTTGTGTGGCTTCACCCCCCACGGCTTCATTCATTTCAATGAAGCGGGACATTGCACACAGCTGACCAAGTGCGCTTCCAGCACCATGCCCGGCTGCCTTTGTCTCCCCAGTGGCGATGTTTACACACCGCACCGGGTACTCATTTGAGGCCAAGTTGACCTAGGGGAGGCCCAGAACCGGTTCAGATAATCGTCACCGATGTTTGCCGTGAATGGGAATCGAACTCGGGTCACCGGGTTCGTAGCGCAGCGCTGACCGCTACGCCACCGCTCCCCACGACAATTATCATGACACACAGGCCTACAGACTCACGCACACAACGTGAAGAGGAATGTAATAGTGGGATTATACCGTTCACAACCACGCTCCAATTATTGGCACGTGTAACATCTGCACGGGGAAATAAGGCTGCTCATGGTTTTATAAAATGTCCGTGAGCCCGAGTGTGTACCGGTGACTTTCTGCGTCTCCGTGTGTGTACACGTGTGTCCCTCTGTATGTGTCTCCGTATGTGTGTGTATGTACACGTGTGTCTCTCTGTATGTGTGTCTCTGTGTGTGTGTGTATGTACACGTGTGTCTCCGTGTGTGTGTACACGTGTCTCCGTGTGTGTATGTACCGGTGTGTGTCCGTGTGTGTGTGTGAACACGTGTGTCTCTCCGTGTGTGTGTATGTACACGTGTGTCTCTGTGTATGTGTCTGTGTGTCTCCGTGTGTGTACACATGTCTCCGTGTGTGTGTACAAGTGTGTGCGTGTGTGTGTCCGTGTGTGTGTGCTGGTGTGGTGCTGGCCACCCACCCCCATCCGACCTGCATAGGTGCTCGCTTAACAGCACTTGCCCCAAAAGTCTAAGGGTTATCAGGAGGAATTTTGTCTGTGTCTATAACTAGGAGTGTCTCTCTACACACACACATCTCTACCCATGTGTCTGTGTCTATACCACTGTGTGTGTGTCTACACCACTGTGTGTGTAGTAGTGTTGAGTAGTGTGTGTATAGTAGTGTTGAGCAGTGTGTGTAGTAGTGTGTGTAGTAATAGTGTGTGTAGTAGTGTGTGTACAGTAGTGTTTAGTAGTGTGTGTGTGTAGTAGTGTGTAGTAGTGTGTGTGTGTAGTTCTGTGTGTGTAGTCGTGTTGAGCAGTGTGTGTGTGTAGTAGTGTGTGTATAGTAGTGTTTAGTAGTGTGTGTGTGTAGTAGTGTGTAGTAGTGTGTGTGTGTAGTAGTGTGTGTATGTAGTCGTGTTGAGCAGTGTGTGTGTGTAGTAGTGTGTGTAGTAGTGTGTGTAGTAGTATGTGTGTAGTCGTGTTGAGCAGTGTGTGTGTGTAGTAGTGTTGAGCAGTGTGTGTGTAGTAGTGTGTGTGTAGTCGTGTTGAGCAGTGTGTGTGTGTAGTAGTGTGTGTAGTAGTGTTGAGCAGTGTGTGTGTAGTAGTGTTGAGCAGTGTGTGTGTGTAGTAGTGTGTGTAGTAGTGTTGAGCAGTGTGTGTGTAGTAGTGTTGAGCAGTGTGTGTGTGTAGTAGTGTTGAGCAGTGTGTGTAGTAGTGTGTGTGTGTAGTAGTGTGTGTGTGTAGTCGTGTTGAGCAGTGTGTGTGTAGTAGTGTGTGTAGTAGTGTGTGTGTAGTACTGTGTGTGTGTAGTCGTGTTGAGCAGTGTGTGTGTGTAGTAGTGTTGAGCAGTGTGTGTGTAGTAGTGTGTGTGTAGTAGTGTGTGTGTGTAGTCGTGTTGAGCAGTGTGTGTGTAGTAATGTGCCGGTCATCTCAGTCAACCCATGGCACCCGAGTCCCGTGACACCCTGTGCCAGCGCTTCGCGTGAAAACCTCAAAGTGCACCTAGCCGGGCACAATCCCCGTGGCTGATGTCACGTGCGTGCGTGCGTTGAGAACCCCGACCCCGCTACTCACGCACTGCCACCGCCCTGCAGTCGAGCGCCGCGGAGGCTTCGCGCAGGGCTCGAACCCGACCCTCCAGCCTCTCGGAGCGCCGGGCCACCAACCTCGCCGCCGCCTCCAGTTCGGCGAACATGCCGAGAGCGTGGCGAGCGAGGCCGGCCAGCTGGCGCAGGGTGTCCCCCAGGGCCCGGCTGGAGGCGTGACCCAGGTCCTCGCAAGGTTCCGAAGCGCGGCGACGCCGGTTCGTGGAGTCCGCCTCGTCGCCACCGGGACTCAGCACCCGCTTGTAGAACGGCATGGTCGCGGTAGTGGTGACGGTGGCGGTGGCGGCGGCGATGGAGACTCTTGGAACGTGCCGGACGATCTGAGCGAGAGGATCTCGCCGGACTAATTGGTTCGGGTGCCTCGATGGATAACGGTGGGTCCCGGCTGTCGGAGCTCTCCCGCGGGTGACCTTGGCCGAAGATTGTTGATGAACGGGAGCCCTCTCGGGGTTGAAGGATCTCGGCGTGGCTCGGATGCTCTCGGCGGCAGGATCTCACCTGTAGAACCTCACCTGGGGCAACTCGAGTTGGGCGATGCGCCCTCCCCCCCCCCCCCCCGGGGGCTATCGGAGCGTCTTGCTCCTCGACGCTCCGAGAAGGTTGCTTCGCTGTTCCACCGCCACCGATCAGGGGTTACGGGACGCGCGGGGAGTGGGTGCGAAGGAGAGGCGATGGCTGCAGCGTCTCCCGGAGTCTCCGCGCTTCGTGATCGGAGCGAAGGAGGCAAGAGTGACGGCAAGAGGTGGTGGTGACGATGGTGGCGGTGGTGGTGGTGGTGACGGTGGTGGTGGTGAGCATCTCACAGGGCCGGCGCAGGTGAGCGAGCTGGAGGTGAGCGCCGTGCGGGTGATTCACCTGCGCCGTCGCTCGTGCCGCTGCCGCTTCTCGTTGTGCGCACCTCGCTGGCTCGCCATGTTCACGCGAGAGTCAGCACCCGGAGTAGTCTGTGTCCCCTCCCCACCTCTCTCTCTCTCTTTCTCTCTCCCTGTTCTCTGTGGGTGGTGCCTCTGCCTCTCTAGCACACTCTCACTCGCTCTCCCTCGCTCTCTCTCTCTCGCTAACGTGTAGTTGTAGCAGCGATGAATCGCGCCGCTGTCTCTCTCGTGTCGATGCGTGTGGCTCCCTCTGTCTCTGCGTCTATTGTCGCTGTGTGTGTCTCTGCGTTGTCTCTCTCTCTAACATGTAGCAGCAGCGAGCAGCGTCAAAAAGGAATCCACTGCACTCTTTCTCTCCGTCTCTCCCCCGCTACACTCGCGCGCGCTCTCTCTCTCTGTGCCTCTCATCCGCCGCTCTCCCCTCCCATTCTCTCCCGCGTCTCTCTCCCGAGGTGGTGGTGGTGGGAGTGGTGGTGGTGGTGGGGTTGTGTCGGCAGGAGGGAGGGAGGGAGGTTAGGGCGCGAGAGGGGAGGGGCAGAGATCGAGAGGGGACCGAGAAAGCGGGGTGCGTGGGAGGGGGGATCAGGGGGGAGATTTGTAGGAGCGGGGTCACCACCACCACTCTGGAGTGGCAAGAGACGGATGGGGGGTGACCCCGCACACACACGGATGAGCAGGGTGGGGGGGGGGGGGGGCAGCTCGCTGCTGAGCCGAGTCAAGACAAGACGACAGTGTTGGTCTCCTTGTTTTTTGCGGATCGACGCTTGCTTCACTTTCTTTTCGTTGCCCACAGGAGGAATCCGATGAGCTATGAAGCTCTTTTTTTCACAGATGTCCAGTAATAAGGGGCACGGGGTCAGAAGGTTACAACGGCAAACGCAATTTAAAAACACGATCGGAGTGCAAAATAGAGAAATGGTAAGAAAGTCACTAAATATAAATACATAAATAATACATTGATTATACAAGTCCGATTTATGATGATAATGGCGAACTTGAAGCGTATAGGTTATTGTAGCCAATACTATATGATTCCATATATGCTTTCGGGTTCGGCCACGTGAGTATTTGTATGCGAATTTTGTTGGGATTAACCTCCACCACCACCCGATACGATCGGATTGTCGCGTTATGTACGCCTGGCCAATGTATTGATCCGATTTTCACTGGTGGCTTAAGACTTTTCAAGTCTGAATTTATCATGGTGGGTTTGATGATTGAATACGGCGATAGGTATTGATGATGAGATTGATGATGATGGTGATGATCATGATAACGATGATGGTGGTAATGGTTTGTTAAAGATTGCGATGATGATTGGAGATGACGATGATGTTGATGATGGCGATGGTGGTGGTGGTGGTAATAATGAAGAGTAAAGATGATTATGATGATTTAGAATGGTGATGGTGATTGTGTGCATTACAGATGGTGATGGTTTTAATGATGATGATGTGATAACAACAATGATTGTTGCAATAAGGATGGCGGTGGTTGGTAATTACGGTAATCGTGAATGATGATGATTATGATGTTGTTCATTTGATGATGATGATGATGCCACGGATGCTACACGTACAGAAGCCGCTCCACGTCCATAAAATATTCCCCCACCAAAGTCTTCCGCAGAAACGAAGTGGGAGGCTATGGGAGAGACGTGAAGACTGTAACACACACAACGCGCGCATGCGTGCGTGCGCTCGGCGTGTTGTGAATAAAAATTACATTGTTTTACAAAGTGTTCGTTGCATTCCAATACTATTTTGCTTGAGTGTGTGCCGCCATCCGAACGAACACACACGCACGCGCTATATATAAGTGTTTCTTGACTGATTCAAGTCGTAATGATGTTCTGGAAGGGGTTGTTAGAACGTTCAACATTCAGCACGTGTCTGTACGGTGTGGGCACGTGTCTGTATGGTGTGGGCACGTGTCTATATGGTGTGGGCACGTGTCTGTATGGTGTGGGCACGTGTCTGTACGGTGTGGGCACGTGTCTGTACGGTGTGGGCACGTGTCTGTACGGTGTGGGCACGTGTCTGTATGGTGTGGGCACGTGTCTGTATGGTGTGGGCACGTGTCTATATGGTGTGGGCACGTGTTTTTATGGTGTGGGCACGTGTCTGTATGGTGTGGGCACGTATTTGTATGGTGTGGGCACGTGTCTGTATGGTGTGGGCACGTGTCTGTATGGTGTGGGCACGTGTCTGTATGGTGTGGGAACGTGTCTGTATGGTGTGGGCACGTGTTTGTATGGTGTGGGCACGTGTCTGTATAGTGCAAAGGGGTCGGAAACCAAAATACCAAGCATAGAGGGTTTTTTTAAATTCGGTAATTTAAAAAAAAACTCAGTATTTCAAGAGCCGCAAAGCAACGTGGTGAATACGAGACGGTGGTGGGTCTCTTAATAATTAGCGTCACGAAGGCAGTCCGTTAAGAAAGCCGCAGTGGTTCTTCTTCCTAACCTGGGGGTGCGAGATGCCCTTTCTGGGGGTGCGAGACGTGGCCAGATAATTTTTTTAGAAGGTAAATAATCTAAACACAAATTGAGCAGGGGCACGTAAGTCCCAACTACTTTGTTTCATCAAACCCTATGTATCTATTAACATGATTTTAAATATATATTCTTGGTTCTTTCGGTAAAGTCACGTAGAAGGGAAACAATAAAATAATAAAAATATAATTATTGCTTGTGTTGCAGTCGAAACGTCGTGAGAATTTTATTGTTTTATATTTGTATTATTTTATTGTTTCCCTTCTACGTGACTTCACCGAAAGAACCAAGAATATGAATCCCTGCAGTCACGAAAGCTTTAAATCTAAATTTATATAATTGAGAACCAAAAGCGGTGCAAAGATGCAGAAAAAGTTAAGAACCGCTGGTCCGAATCTCACGCTCACGATTTAAAATATATCGCAGTCGTTTGTCGAAATTCGCGACGTGAGTTAAATTCCCATGCACGGCTAACATCAGTGGCGAGCGATGTCACAACCCGTCTCGCCACCTCTCCCTCCACCACCGTCAACCCTCTCTATGAAGCCGCAGTGACCAGCGTGGTGAAGTATGGTCACACAACCCCGCACGACCGGCCACGTACATGGATGGGGAGGAAGGGGAGGCATTCATCCAGCAGTGGATTGATCATATGGTGATGCCAATATCTCACTTCTCACATTGTACCCTTTACCCAAATTAACATTTTACAAGCTAGTAATTTTCCGGATTATAAGACGCACACCCACCCCCTCCCCTCCCCCCCGTAAATGCGTGACCACATTTGTATCCTCGAGCTGTTTTTGACACCGGGGACCACAAAACAAATGTGGTGTGCGTCTTACTTTCAGGAGCGTCTTATAATCCGGATACAAACATACACTGCACACACATTTATATTTCTTTGTAATCTCTATGCTACTGCCCATTTTCTTGTGTACCTGCCGTGTTACTATGGAACGCGGTGACGTGTTTCAAAGGCTTACAATTATAAAGTGTGCAATAACAAAGGCGCCAGGTCACAGGGAAAGGGTTCCCACGTTGCACCAGATGTCAGACAAGATGCAAGGAAGCGTAGGAGTTTGTTTAGAGTCGGGTCAATCATGTCGATGCATCGATATATATTTTTTTATTGACCACTGTTGATTAATGGTGTCCCCACGTATGTCTCGCGAAGGCGGGAAAGTCCCCACCTCTACAAGCCACGCCCCAGGCGTGACGCGCCCTTAATTTAGTTTCATAACGATGACGTCACCAGGTCCCACCCATCACCTCCCGTCCAGCGGCACAAGGTGACAACAGACATTGACAATTAACCCAATACTTTCGTGGCGTCTGATTGATTTAAGTCGAGCGATGGAAGCTCTCATCGGAAGAGTAATTGATCACTCGCATCAACCGTCTTGATATCCCCCTTTTCTGTTTGAGTTCCGATCTCTTATGGCCAACTCGTGCCACCGCGCGGGATAACCGGGGGAAAGCTTCGGGAATCTTTCCCCAGGCGCTGTAACCTACGTTCCGTTTACGCGGCGGTGGAGCGGTGGCAGTGCTGCGGGTGACAGACTGTGCAACTACGAACCCGGCAAAACCACCGAGTTCGATTCCCGGCAGTGACTAACATCGGCGGCGACTGACGTCTGAACCGCTGCTAGGCGTCTCCCAGCTCACCAACTCGTACGCACTAAGCAACGTGGTGAAGTATGGTTGCGATGCTATTTTTATTGAACCAGGTAAGGTTCACTGAGCTGTATACTCTCCTGGTATACAGGAGGTCGTGGGTTCGATCCCGACCCTGATGCCTGCTGCTGTATATTTGGAGTTTGCGTGTCTCTCTCTCTCTCTCCCCGTAGTTGTGTGGATTTTTCTCCGGGTCCTCCGTTTTTTCCCCTCCACATTTAGAGTTTAAAATATTTGGCTGCAATACATTTCCACGCGAGAAGCCACTTCGTTGAGCCACCATTTGCGATGGCCAGGTCGCTCCTGACAAAAACAGCTTCGTGGCTCAGTGGACCTTACCTAGTAAAATAAAATAAAAAAAGTTTATTAGTTTTTTTACAATCATAGTTTGTTTTAGTTTTCGTGTATACACACTGTCAACACGAGTCTTCTTCTAACCGTTTGCGGGGTAAAAATAAACGTGGAGGGCTTTTCACTCGAAGACCACAGAGGAATGAGGAAATGTCGCTCAAACTACTGAACTTTCTCATTCCTAACAAAATTAAGATTCCATTGCGGCGGCAGTGAACCCGCAGCGATTGAAGTTCACACGAGAAAATGACTCGAAATGTTGAAGCGAACTAGACAGGATACGAGTTAAATAAATAACGCTCAATTTCCATAGACATCATAATAAAAAAAATTGCGTAAATATTGCCCCCATCACGTATCAAACGTCTCAAAATGCAGATTTGTTGAAGCCTTAGGGGATCCGCCTGATGGCACCTGTCCCTGTGCTGTATCACCGTCATCAGTTGTTGTCCATCCACTGCTGGATGACGGCCCCAACATTATCATCGTAATCGAGAATTGTCCACCCCATTGTGCGATCGTTAGCGCAAGTCGGAGGTCGCCGGGTTTGTTTCCCGATTTCCCGGCGCGGCAATCGACACGGTGTGGTGGACAAGTTCCTCACATCCCCGTCGCCTCTATCCATCCCAGCAGTATTAAAATGGGTACGCCACGAGTGAATGTGGTGCGGTAAAGTGTGGGTACCACTGCCTGTCCAAAGACATCTGGCCAGCGTGCAGGAGTAGACCAAACGTCCCATTATTATAGAGGCCCTTCTGCCAGCCTTAACATGAAAATGTAACTATAAAAACTATAAACGGTTTTGTTTCATCCTACCAGGTAAGGCCCACTGAGCTACATTGGTCTTTTTTCAGAAGCGACCTGGCTATCACAAATGATAGCTCAAAGTATCACGGGTAAATTTAAAGCAGCCAAATG